CCCCTGCAATGGCTCGGTGTGTTGTTGGGGTAGCGCCCTATGATTCGCGAGGCGAGCGGCCGTTTCGGATAACGAGCCGCGGAAGAGGGTTCGCAGAGCCTTACCCGGGTCTCCCGTGGGCCGCGAAACGCGGGGGATATCTCCTGGTCGCGCCGGTCGGGACGCGCCGATCAATAGGAGGCGAAAAGGCACCACATGTCCCGGTGGCTTCTCACGCCGCGGCAGCGTTCACAGGATCACCAACGGCGGCGGGCATCTCCGACAGCGTCGCGTCGCGTCGCGTCGTTTACGTTACCGGGCTGGAGCTGCCGGAGCTCTCTTCCGCAGAGCGGATGTTTCCGATGCTTTCAGCGGGTCGGCAGGACGGGACGAGTCGCGGCTACGAGAACGAAGCCGATGCGGTGACGGTCGGACGCGATCGCGACGTCAACGGAGGCGTCGGGACGGTCGTAACGTGAAAGCTGAGAAAAGTCAGGATACTGGCCTCCTGCCATCGAAGAGACCGTCGACCCGGCGCGACGCGGCGGCTCTGATTACGGGACGACGCACTGCGCCGACGTCACACAACGACGTCGACGTCGACGTCGTCGTCGTGGTCGTCAAGGCGACGGCGCGCGCCGGCTTTTCTTTCTCGGCCCGCGCGCGCATGCCAGCGCCTGTCGACGAATCGACCTCTCGATCCGGACCCGCCGCGAGATATCGCGGCGCGAAATTGCGGAGCGTCACGAGCGACGCGAGAATTCCCGCACGTAGAAAGATGCGATTCTACTGCTGACAACAGCGGTTACTCATTTTACTGTCCTTCTTTTAAGTAGGAGAGAGTCGCCAGAATCATACCTCATTACTCTTTTCCCATTTCTTTTCATCTTTGTAGCACACACGCGCAAAATAAGATAGAATCTGAAGTTTGAACATTTTTTGTTTATATTCCTCATTGCTCACTTATTCCCCATTTTAGTTAGGCCCTCGTTAAGTATCCGTCATATTCAATAATAATGAAGAGATTGAGGTACGGTTTAAAAGATCAGTACGACTTTGGCAGCTTTCCCCTAATGGCTATCTTTAACAAAGAATATTTTTTCTTGATAATAATCTTAAAATATATTTATCACAAATCTTTGAAAAGCTTATTATCATGTACTCAAAAGAATAATTTATTCTCCTTACAGAAATATTATAAAATTTTTCCCAAGAAAAAATAGATTCAACTCTATGTAGTAAGCAAATCGAATTCTTGTTTTAAATTAATATTTTTATACTTGTTAAAATGTATTTGGTATAAATTTAATGTGATAAACTTGATAGATTTGTGTGCGGGTATATAAACTTACGAAATACTTGAAACAAGTAACATTACTTGAATGCAATATGCACTTTCTGTGCGTGGCGTATTTCTCCAGAATCACAGTTTTTACCCGCGAATTTTCTCCAGGCTTAGGAAAATGACGAGTTGTCCCGTTGTCATGTTATGCGATTTACTTGCGCGAGGATAAACGATGGCAGATGCGGGAGATGAGATTACGTTGTTACCTCGGGGTTGTTTTTTTACGATTATTTCCGCGGATGACCGCAAACATGTCCGTCCGTGCACACGTACCCGTCTCTTTGTATCGTGACCGCAACCCTGCGAGACAACCTTAGCTTCTTTAATGAAGCTTATCACATTTGTATTATTTATCGACCGAAGGTAGCAAAGCGTAGAGGCAACTTCGCCGCTGAGCAGCGAGCAACCAACGATAAACGTCGCCGGGAGCACCGACAAGCGCTGTAATCGAACGTCGAGTGGTTATCATACACATGCGCGCATAATTTACGGACTTTATTACATCAATACTTTCGGGTGAAATTTTCATTGTGTCAAAATTAATTGTCAGTTTAAGGTAGCGCCTCTTATTACAGGCCAATTATTTGCACAAACTCAAAGTTCCCCAAAGTTGGTAGAATCGTCGGGGAGCAATTAATTCTCCAAACAAACGGATTATTCGGTGTCTGATTGGAATGATTAGCAATTTGAGTTAAATGCTGCGACACTCTGGAACAATAATGGATCGCGTTTTTTGCTCAGAGAGTTGGCGGTCGGTGAAGCCGCAATTTCCCCTCGTGAAATCGCAAACAGCGCTTCTCTGCCGCTTATTAATTGCCTATTGAAGCAATGACGAATTCGCACGAGATTCCATACGAGTACAGCGGCGCACACCAAGCAATCAGCATCGTTCTGAGAGCGAAACGAGGCGCATTAACCTAAGCCTACATCGCCCGACGCGAGTCATAGTGTCTGTAGGTCAGGAGGGCGCGAGTCGCATTCCACAGAAGGTGCTGTAAATCCCTCTTCCTCGCCAAACACTTCCGAATACGCGGCGTATTATCACGGATGATAATTTCACGGATTATTCTAATTTTACGGATTATTATTGCGGACGATAATTTCACGCTGAGACGCGCCCGACGATGCGTTCATCCGAAGTCTGCGAGCTGGAGGGAGCCGCGAGCTCCCAATTCGCATAGAGTCATTCACGTGTTATCGGAGCACCGTCGGGGAAGATCACCGTGGAGAAATCACAAATGGATATTGCGTTTCTTGCGTCGTGTTTTCTATTAAATCCGCGACGGCAACGTAACTCTCGGCCGAGCGATGCAATATTTCATAAGGCATCCGCGCGGAACGCGGCGGGGGAGCGGCGAAGGGAAGGACAAGGGGCATGGCGAATTCCGTTTACGCTGAGAGATCGATTGCACGTGGAAGAAGGAACGCGGTAATGACAATGACGTTCCGGCACGTGAGTAAGCTACTGTCGCTTCCGCGAGTGTGAACGTAGATCGCCGCCAGGCACCGAAAAAGAAAAGAGACTTTTTCCACTGCGCGCCATTCTCGACAGAGTGGAAAAAGTCTCGAGACGCGCCGACCGTGTGACCACGAAAATGCAAAGAAAATTGCAAGATAGATGGTGCAATCCTGAAAGCAATGAAGCAGCAGCGTCGACCAGCTCTCGCTTCTTCTTGCCGCGCGAGATGAACGTACGAACGAACGAACGCAGCGCGATCTCTCTCGCGACAGATTGTTAATTAAAATTGATCAGTAAGTAGGGATGAAAAAGCGATAACAACTCGCTATTGCAACTTAGAAAGCGAATTAATATCTTTACATTTTGACATATTTCTAAGTATCACATTATACGAAGTTACATATCGTGACTTTTCCACTTACAATATTAAGTACTACTGCACTACTGCAGGAATGCGCCCGCGATTCACAATAATTACATGCAATCGGTAACATATTAAAATTACTTGTAAAGTTCTGGTGAAATTCAATAGGTTGATACATGATGTTTTTAAGAGCCAGACACAAATAGTCTAGTGTTACATAAAAAAGAATACAACATAACTTTACCATAAACACATGTCCAAATTTATATGCATTATAATATGTATTTATTATAAAGACATTATTAAAGTATTCTTTTTATATAACACTACTAAAACGTATTGATCTACTAAAACGATTTGTAATTTATTATTAACAATTCAATCTCCAACGAAATGCATTCAGAGTACACCATCACATTGAGCGCCGTTTTTTCACGATTAAAGTATTAATCCAATGTAACTTTAAGTATAATCCAATGTATCTCGCACATCACGTACCCATGCTCGCCTCTTTTAATGTCTCGGACACGCTATCATAGAACAGGAGTCCGTAGAAGTTAGAGTTGTCCAATCCAATCTTTCACCGTGCATCTTTGCTTCCAAGATCGTTAATCGATTCCCGCTCACCGCAGCTAAGTAGTGTCTCTTCTTCATATACGTGTACTTCCTCATTCTAAACTTGTACAATTGGTCAGCCTTCATTTTAATCGAGTTCCTATAGACGAAGCCTTCGATACCTTGCAACAAATTTCACGAGGTGTAAGTCGATCAAATTATGGTACATCGATTTCCCCTTTGAGGTTCTATTTTGATTTTCGTTTTAACTTTAGAATGTAAATTTTTACCTCGATATTCATAGATCTGAATAGTCTCGTTATTCTCGATAAAGATCAGCAATGTCTCGACGAATCCGTCGAAATTCAGTATCAAAATGGATTTTGGTCGATGCGCATTTATAATTTGCAAGATCTTCGTTTGCGAAGCGTCATTCCTCCAAATCTTGATGAAACGATTCAATTAGCATACCAGGATCACGACGGAATAGCACAGGTTTCACACGTGCGCGGAAACAGTGTCCTGCTTCGCGTTATTATCCATACAGCATAAAAATGTCCAAAGACATAAATATCCAAAAGACATCTTACAAATAAACCTACCCAAAAATTACACTCCGATTTCTTTCTAATTTGGCACAAATGTAAAAGTACAAAAAATATTTAGGTCATATTTTCTCATTTTGACCCACTTTGAATTTCATGGGCAGTTTATAGCTTTTTAATGTTCTTACTCTTATCATCAACAAGTGCAACAAAAATGCATAAGAAATAAAATTGAATACAAGATATAGGCGTTTTTGGTTTGCTGATTATGAATATGAAATCAAATGTGTAAAATTATTTGTATAAATAATAAAATGTTTAAACAAAACATGTAAAAAGTTAAAAAAAATTATTTATACAAATAATTTCTCAGTTTGACCGAGATTCAAACCATTTTTGACTAATTTGACTAATTTGACTAATTTAGCACAGATTTGAAATATTTCGGTTTGAATCTCGGCTAAAGAAATTTAGAATGGCTCGTGTCTCAGTTATGCCGATTTTGTTAAAATTTTAATTAAAATTGCCGGATTTCTCTCTCTCGTTTTGGCCGAGATTCGAACCATTTTTGACTAATTTAGCACAGATTTGAAATATTTCAGTTGAAATCTCGGCTAAAGAAATTTAGAATGGTTCGTGTCTCAGCTATGCCGATTTTGTTAAAATTATTTAACTATATCTTATATTCAATTTTATGCATTTTTTATGCATTTTTGTTGTACTTAACGATAGGAGTGATAACATTAAAAAGCTATAAAATGTCGGTGAAACTCAAAGTGTGCAAAAATGAAAAAAATATGACTTAAATATTTTTTGTATTTCTACATTTGTGCCAAATTAGAAAGAAATCGGAGTGTACCTTTTGGGTAGGTTTGCTTGTTAGAGACGTTTGAAAAATTCGTTTACTTACTTAAAATGTCTTTAAAGGATATCTCTAAGATGTATTTTAGACATTTGTACTGTTTGGATATTTTTGCGCGATCTCGAAATAGATCTTGCTCTTAACTTACGTATATGTGATTTTGGCTGATTTCTGCATTGTAATAGACGTACTCTTCCCTCTCGAAAATACCCACTCTGAAGCTTAATAGATTGCTACAGTTGAGACAGTCTCTTAGAGATATACCGGTCAAAGATCTGCTTTGCAGTTCGTGAATGTAACTCTGGTTTACCGACGTGATCGAATCGTTATATAAATTCGAGTTTGACCTCTCCTCCTCCAAAGAGACCAGAGCTTTCAAAATGTTCAGCTGCAGGTCCGATTCCGGCACAGTTTCGTGATCATCGTGAATCATTTTTATGTACGTATTTTCGAATGTCCTAAAATAATTGGTGACATTGCCGAGCTCCATCACATGCTACGAGAAAAATAACAGCGAATAAAGCAATCGATCGGTTTTATTCGAGAAATGGCTAAGACGCCCTTTTGTACTCGCACAGTTAAGAATGTCGCTTATGGGGACTGGAGAGTCAGATTGCCTGAAAATCGTGCTTGTTTTTTTACAATTTCTTATAACAAACTGAATGAATATTCGAAAGTGTTATTTTGTATCTATACAACATATAAAGAGAAGAAAAATATAATTTTGATGATCAAATACTCAATATAAATGTATGGTACATGTAGTTAAAATATATTTCGTTTTTCTTTTCAAGGTCGTCATTTTGCAGTAATATCTTGACTCCCGGTGGTTCAATTAAGCTGAATTTTAGATAGAAAATTTCCGTAAGCTTGTCGTTATCGTGTGAATCACTATAATAGAAATTGAGTAAAAGTTAACAAAATTGCAAATATCTTAATGGAATATTATTAAATTTTCAGTTCTTTTATAGTAAAAAAGTTAATATTTCAAAATTAAATATTTTCACGTTTGTCAGTGGTTTATCTCCAGTCCCTTTAAATCGCTTTAAAAAATTACGTCACACCTGTATTTTTGCGATAAACTCACCATCAGCTTGTTGTTTTCTAACCTCCATATATTGTTCAGGTGTTTGCCGCAGGCGTGTGTCGCAATTGTAAGTATGTACATCTTGCGATTCATTGTGTAAAAGACCCATCGATCGATTAATCCGACATCGGACACTTGGTCGACTATTGCGAAACCGGCCGAAGTATATTGCAAGAGCGTCATGCTGCAGTTGTCGTGGTTTACCAACAAGTATCCCAAATTGTCCGAATCGATAATACGGATGTTGTGAATATCTCCTTCAAACACCACTACTTTCACATAATCGAACGTGTCGAATTTGTATATCTGATCTGCAGAATTGCACTTGAGCACATTTAAACTCTTGCACACGCTATTTAGCTTTTCCTGCGGAATGTACGTTTTAGTTGGACAAAATTCCTTTTGAAAGTACGAAATGGCTTTATTGAAAAAATTATTACGAATTAGGAGCACTGAGAAAAAGATGTTTGATGCTTGTAACTGTGTGATCACATAAAGAAATGTTTCTATTTCTATTATTATGAGAATTATAAATTGTAGTCAAGAGAACTATTCTTTTGTTATAATGTTAGCGATGATAATATCTTTTATGTATTTCATCACTACTGTTTCCGCGTTAAAATAACCAAAAAATATGATTGAAGCGAGAAATAACTGTAACTTCAGTTAAACTAATCATTTCTTGTCTCAGTAAGGAAGGAATGATGTATTTTCTCGTCGTGTCGTCATGAAAACGTTGGTAGAAAAACGAAAGTCCGTGATACGATTTAGGAGAAGTTTTCCTTACATCCGTTTCCTCAATAATGGCATTTATTTGGACGCGTTCTTTCGCTAGGATGGCCAACGCTTCCGTGATATTAACTCCGCTTAAAATTTCAGTTCCGTTAACATTTTTCTCGAAGGTGACGTTTCCGTGTACCCTCCATTGTCCGAATATAGTCTGTTTCTCGCCTTTCTTCATTACTGCTGTTCCTTGCCAATGAGCCAGGTCTATATCGTTTAGAGTACCCAAAATTCTGAGACTCTTGTCGAGGATCACCGAACCTCCGAACGCAAAGTTTCCTAAAAGCAAAACAAAATAACAGAAAAAAATGACGCTGATTGTATACGTGTCGTTGTGGTCAAAGATTTCAACCCTAAATTTCTGAAACGTCGAGAAAATACGAAGGGCGATTACGTGTTTAGTAGAGTTTTCCTCTTGTCCGTTTCTATCAACTTTGGCAAACTTAACCGGCTGATTATTCCAACTGAATTGACCAATCGCATTTCTCGTTAGTCAGAATTGACAGATGCGAATTGACAGATGCGACTCCGAATTGACAGTCAATTCCGTTGGGATAACTAGCCGGTTAAGTTGACTAAAGACGATAGAAAGGAGTATTTTAATGTTGCAGGTGTGTTCAGCGATATCACGTATCTTATTCCGTACAATTCAACTTCTTACCAATTAGAGTCTCGTTGGTATTTACGAAAACAATTTGGTTGACTTTGAAATGGTTTATAGTATAAACATCGAAGTCGCTATACGCGTAAACGTTTCCTCGGATCTTTATGGTCCCCGTGATGTTCTGATCTTCGTGTATCTGCAAGGAAAATTAACTGTCATCAACTCTGAGAAGACTTCTGTTATGTAATAATAATAAATATAATATAAATAGGAAACTGTTAACCCTTTTCGTGAGGTAAATAAAAAGTCACGCCCTGAATTATGTGGCGTTTTTAAAGTTTCACATTCTCGACTTATCGTTACGTGTATCTCATGATAAAAAGTGACGCTACTCCACGTCGACGTACCGTGAAAGTGTCCGTGTAGATATCGTTCAGAATGTAGTTGTTTACACGCCCCTGCCAATGGATGTTTCTGTAAGTGATATTGAAAGAATGGACATCTTGCAGGATGAACTGATCCGTATGCAACGGTATCAGCTCGTCCATTCTCAGGTCGTTGACCTGCGTGACTTTTACGCTCGCTTGGAAAGTCACATTGTCGAGTGTCATCCGCTCTGAAATACAAAATGTTCCCCATTAAACGGCGAAATCGCTCGGCGTAATAGTCGACGTCCTGTGCGCCATCACGCGAATGTTACGTGGATACCCGGTTTACTAACCGCAATGAAGCGTGTTCCTTGGAGCGGCGTATGATTATCGGTCGCAAACGACGCGCGGCGAACTATTATAATCGCGACACGTCATCTGCGAGCAGACTTATCGCGGGGCAGAGCGTGTCGTTGTAAGACCACGGCCGTTCGACAGCGAGATTCTGAAGATTAGCTTTCGAATCATTCTGGGCGAACATTCGTCACGACGCATTGCGAAACACGAAGCACTAATTTGGTTATGCGGAAGCACAGAGAATATGGATATTCGCTCTCTCGGCACAATGACGTCATCTTCATTTTATGTGAAAATAATTACCCTCAAAACTAACGGGTGCGTTAAGAAGAATGGCGTTCTCCCGTAAATCCTTCATATCGACTCCCATGATGGTGCTTGCTTCTAATGTCTTCTTTGCTACGAGATTTCTTCTTATGTGAACGTCTTCTTTGAACACTACTCGAGAATCGATTGAGAATGGTTCATCGATGTAGACGGCTTTCTCGCGGAACCTGAGCAGATCCAGGTCGTCCAGGCTGCTGTCGATAGTGAATTCATCGTAGAACGTGATCGGTTTACTGAACAATTTCGCCCCGGATATCGTGACGTTCGAGTCGTTTTTAACGATCGCCCTTTGCAGAAAATTGTCAAACAACGATCCCTGAATCGGTCCGTCCAGTCTCGCGATAGAGACGTTCTCGGTGAAGTGGAAGTCGCCGCGAAGAGCGTAAGAGTTATTTCCGAGCGGCTTGAATCTGTCTGTAAAATCGCGGAAAAACATGTTTCCGATCTTGCCGGTAGCGTTGAAGCTGTTCAACACTGTGATCGAACCTAGAAAGATGAATTTTTATTTTAGTCCACTGTGAAATCGAGAAATTGAAGTTAAAAGGGGAGATTGAATAATTTTTGGTTTTAAATAATTAATTTTAATTATATTAAAGCATGAGATTTCAATTGGTAATAATTGTTAAAATTTAGTTTAAACTAAATGCAAAATTTAGACCCGTTCCACAACTTATTTTATTTGGAGTTTATCTTGTTAAAGGCCTATCCAGACAAACTTGCATTATGCACAAGGAAATTGATTAATCTAATGTAAATTATGTCTAATATAGTAAGAGGCGTCCTTTTGCGCGAATCATGATTGATTGATTTGCATATTTGCAATATGTGATTATGCAAGTTTTTCTGGATAGGCCTTTAACAAGTTAAACCGCAGGTAAAGTATAATTAAAAATGTAGTTGTGGAACCGGGTTTAAGAGTTGTCTATCAAACGTTAACACACGTGGATTACATATGAACACAGAAAAAAAGAGTTGTTACATATGGACAACTAAATATAATTTGCTGTGTTAGCCACTTTTTCTTAACTGCAAGAGCCAATTTCCTTGCTATGGTAACAAGAAAATCTACTCCTGCAACAAAAAAGGTAACTAAAGCAGTAAATTATGTCCATCTGTAGCAAATTTGCTGTGTTAGCCACTTTTCTTGCCGTAGGAACAGATTTTCTTGTTATTATAGCAAGAAAATAGGTTTCCGCAGCAAAAAGGTAGCTAACACAGCGAATTATGTCTAACTATCCATACGTAGCAAATTAGTTTGCTGCTGCAGCAAATTATTTTTTTCCGTGAAGCATTAGCGTAACAATATCTGAAGCGCACGACACAATATTTGTTACAAGATTTTGCATACCTTTTACATAAACTGGTTTCTTTAGCTCTTGCTGTCTGTCGGGATCCAGAATGTCGTCTACGAAATGACCGTTCACGAATTGCACGTTTAGAAATTCGCACGTGACGTTCCCGAGCGTCTTATTGCCTGTGAACGTGACATTTCGGTCGGTCTTCCGTACAGCGTCGTCGACAAATTCGGACAGATTTCGGCCATTCACGAAGCCGAGCACCGTCAAATTGTCGATCGTCACGTTCCCGCGGAAAATTACGGGCTTCATGCTGCGTGGGTCGTAAATGTCGAGAATGTTGCGCCCGTTGATCGAAGACACGCTTAATTGTCCTGTCACCTGCAGGGACTGCAACGTCTCGTTTCCGCCGACGACGCGGTCGTAGAGGAATCCCGCGTGCGTCAACAATCGATTCAAGTCGCGTATCGGCACGCCGTTGACGAGCTTCGCGTCTAAGACACCGATCTCCAAATTGTTGACCACCAAAGAGCCCGTCAGACTCTGTCGCGTGGAGATTGTTAACACGTGCTTCGCCAGATCGGTGTAATTCCACATTCCATTGATAGTGTTCGGCGTGATCTCGTCGGTCTTTAACGTCGAGAGTGTCAAATTCTCGAAGTACACCCTCCGGAAGCTTTCGTTCAGCTTGTCGAAGAAAGTCTCGGCCGTGATAGTTAGCCCTATAGTCTTGAAGGAGATCTCGTCGACGATAGGTGGCTTCATGAATAGAAGTATCTTCTCCATGCAGCCGGAGGAGACGTTCTGTTCGTTGATTATATAATCTTCCAACTTGTTCATGGCGCCAAGACTCACATTACCGAACGTAACGTTCGCCGATATCCTTTTCAGGTCTGAAAGGAGTTAGTTGAGCTCCAATTTTTCAGTGAGATGTAAACGCGAGTCATCGAGGCTTTCGCGATTGAATAATAATTGTAATTTAGACACTCACTAGGGAACTGTTGATCGGCGTCGAGGTGTACAAATTCCGAAAGCGCGTGACCGTTAATTTGCGTGACTCGGATCATGGACTTTAAAGTAACGCCACTCAAGAACTTCTTGTTCCCCGTAATTGTCGCGTTCGTCTCGTTTTTTAGCAGAAGATCATCGAAGTCCGACCACGTTTTAGCGTCGATCGAATCTCGCAACACGATATTTCCCATGACGATCAGATTCTCAAAAATGACGTCCGTATTGAGCGTGTTGGTCTCGTTGAGCGAATCTTCGAGATTGGGTGCATTGATGCCTGTTATGTTTCCGTCGACCTGCGATTATGTCACGTGTATACGCGTGATCGCCAAACGCGAACCCGCGAAATCTTACCTGGAAAACTCCATCGATCTGCAGATTCTCGAAAGTAATCTCTCGATCGAGAACCTCGTGTCTGCTAACAATGATAAAGTCGTCGATGTCTACGTCGTTTATTTTGCTGACATTTATCAAATTCATCGCGGACAAGGTAGAAAAGAATTTTTCACCCGTAACGTTCACAGGACTCCAGCTGTGCCTTGGAACAAAATCCCGTGGATATTGCAAATCATTCAGTCGCTCGACAGTACCCGCGTCGACAATAATTTGCTAAAAAAGAAACGTGCCTTAATTACGCGATTCTGGTGTGCAGAGTGTCCAATAAGTCGCGCTACAATATCATATCCTCTTATGAGGAAACAAATGAGAAACGTGGAATAAATGTTATTGAACCAGTTGTACTGAAATATAAGTACGTGTACTGCTTTTGCGCAAAGAATCATTTTTCTCTAAACGATCACACGAGAGAATCATTAAGATAAAAGTACTAATGCGTGGACACTAATAACATTGATATCTAACTCTGGACATTCTTGCTGTTTTAGTTTTCAAGTACGAATATTTAAACTTTTAACGTAGAATATGTATATATATATATATATATAT